GAATGCTTTGACCAGCATCACAAATGTTGAGCCCAAAACTGAGCCTGCCTGTGTTTCTCCTGTTCAGACACCTACGCCTGTCAATGATCTATCCAAAACAGAACACACTAAAAGCTCATTCCGCATTCACAGAATGAGGAGAATGGGGTCGGCCTCCAGGAAAGGGAGAGTGTTTTGCAATGCGTGCGGCAAAACCTTCTATGACAAAGGCACTCTTAAAATCCACTACAATGCTGTCCACCTGAAAATCAAGCACCGGTGCACTATTGAGGGTTGCAACATGGTCTTCAGCTCCCTCAGGAGCCGCAATCGTCACAGTGCTAACCCAAATCCACGTCTCCACATGCCCATGCTAAGGAACAACCGCGACAAAGACCTAATTCGTGCTACATCGGGTGCTGCTACTCCAGTCATAGCAAGTACAAAGTCCAACCTAACTTTAACGAGCCCTGGGCGTCCACCGATGGGGTTTACTACTCCCCCTCTAGATCCTGTACTACAGAACCCTCTTCCCAGTCAGCTGGTGTTCCCAGCTTTAAAGACTGTCCAACCTGTTCCTCCTTTTTACAGAAATTTACTTACTCCTGGCGAGATGGTGAGTCCTCCAACCTCACTCCCTACCAGTCCAATAATACCAGCAGTGAGTGGCATGGAGCAGCATCCCCCTCCTCCTTCAGAGTCATCAGTACCTTCAGTGCTGATGCCCACTCCAGAAGCTAATGCTGACCTTGCCCCCAAGAAGAAGCCAAGGAAGTCAAGCATGCCAGTTAAAATTGAAAAGGAAGTTATCGATACTGCCGATGAGTTTGATGATGAAGACGAAGAAGTGAATGACAGCAGCACGATGGTGAATGACATTGGTCATGACAATCACTGCCATTCTCAGGAAGAAATGAGTCCAGGCCTCTCTGTGAAAGATTTTTCTAAAAGTGACAGAAGTAGATGTATTTCCAGACCAGACATAAGAAGAGCAGACAGCATGACATCAGAAGACCAGGAGCACGAGAGAGACTACGAAAATGAGTCAGAGTCATCAGAGCCCAAACTGTGTGAGGAATCCATGGAAGGCGATGATCGCCTCCATGAACCTGGTGAAAAATCTATGATGCACAGTGACAGACCAGATGAAAACCACAACGACTCTTCCAGCCAGGATGTCATTAAGGTGAAGGAGGAGTATACAGACCCTACGTATGATATGTTCTATATGAGCCAATATGGATTGTACAATGGAGGCAGTGCCAGTATGGCTGCCCTTCATGACAGTTTTGCTTCTACATTCAACTACAGCAGCCCTCAGAAGTTCTCCCCAGAAGGTGAAATGTGCTCCAGCCCAGACCCCAAGATCTGCTATGTGTGCAAGAAAAGTTTCAAGAGTTCCTACAGTGTGAAGCTTCACTACAGAAATGTTCATTTAAAGGAGATGCATGTCTGCACGGTCGCTGGCTGTAACGCTGCGTTCCCGTCACGGAGAAGCAGAGACAGGTCAGTAAATATTAATTGATTTTCTACATTATTGAATATCTTGAATTATGTAAAGAATAGGCAGTTTAGGGTATATGAAGAAATAGAAAGATGCACAGTAACAACAAGTGACAATTGTGTTCCCATGACATTGAGAAACTTTTATCACTTTAAGATTTTCATTGTTGCTTGACATTCAGAGTAGTATGTATCATGCCATCCTCGTAAATGACTAGCTAGATAGTAAATGTCATTATTCTTTCTGTGTGCCTGCAAACGTGTGTATTGTACTTCTATGCATAAGCTACAGCTTTCGTTATATTTAATTTCGTCTCCCTGCAACTTCTAAAACAAGAACAGCTTCTACTAAATATGAAGTAAATTGTATATGATACAAGTATCTCCATGCATGCATATCAAACCACAGAACTAGGAAGGAGGGAAAGGCGTGGATGGACAGTTGGATGAGTGGATGGAAAGAGAATGGAACAACTGGAATAAAATAATTATTTCCATCCCCATAGGGTCATATGAAAGCAAACAGGACGCATTAGAAGACTCTTCTTTCTTCTCTTCAATTTTTAAAACTAGCTGCTAGTTTGTAGCCAGAACAAGTAAATATTAAGAAAATACTCATCTCTTTCTTTAGTAGAACTTCTAAACATCTCTATCCACTATGGTCATTTAGTCTACTTTATCTTCTTTTCTGCATGTGAGCAACTCCCTTCCCCACTGATGGGAATTATGCACACTCAGAGAGGAGAGGCTAGACCCCTACATTTTTTTAAGATCAACCAGGGCATATTCTGCTGGCCCTTCAGATGACATCATGCCCTAGCTATGCTGCATCAGTACTGAAACAGTTGGGCTTAAACAGAAGCAGCTGGTCCTTAAACTCTTAGGTGGTTTTTTTTTAATACGCTATTGTTTTTGATTCCTGAGGAAAATGTAATATAAATGGAATTTGTCAAGATGGTAGGATAACACAGTTGTTTCATACTTGTGGATAAAAGCTCTTACATGTGATGATGATCATATTGCCACATAATAAAATATCTCTGGTTCATGGACTGATGGTGAGATTGGGTCATCTTTTTTCCTTTACTTGTGTTTCATATTCTTTCATAATGTTGTAAAAATTCAGCAGACAGAGGATGAAACCTAAACATTTCACACACAGCTTCTTTTTTTTTTTTTTTTCCATTTTAAGTTGATGCAGTTTGAGAGTGAATGTATCATGTCATAGAAAATGAAAGCAAGTTCATGCTGAGCATACTGAGGAGCCAAAATTCACTATTTTGATGGGGAGTCCAGTCCCCAAATATCTCATGTCTTCTCCTGTAATTTATGAAATCCATTAAACAGAAAAATAGGAATACACATAAGAATACAAATTAAAAACAGAAAAGGACAATTTAGAAAGTTTGCGTTTTAGTAGGATGAAACCACTGGACATGAAGCAGGTTAAACAAAATCAAGGTTTCCTTCTTGGGGTGTCTTGGCAACTTTTATGACAAGTTTGACAAGGGAAGCAAGTGAGTTGGTGGCATAATCTATGCTGGTTAGATGTGTGTAACCCTTTTCAGTCCTGAAATTGCACAAGTTTTGTTACTTAAAAATTTGGATTGGTTGTTTTGTTTCCTCAACTGAATTATGAAAACTCAGTCATGTACTAAGCAAAATAACTTTGCATTCAGCATATGAAGAAGTAGCTAGCTTTATGATTTGGAACTTGATGCAATGTATTAAATTTCAGCAGGGATCCATTGACACATCATGCTAATAATAAATTTAGCATAGTAAAGATTTATAAGTTCAAAGAAAGAGATGACTGTGGTGACATACGTAAAAAATTTCTGAGACAAGAACATTAAAAAAGGACACATTTTGAAAATATTTCATGAACTATGTAGGATATTCCTATTAAGCTTATCGAAAGCAAGACATAAAATAAAAAATCTGATCCAGGAATTTAAAATGCAGGCTGCATATTTAACAATAAAATTACTACTTACATATCATTTTGAGTTTTGTAAGGCACAAGATCATCTTATTGTGTTTTTCCACTGTTAGCATTCAGAATATGTTATTTCAGTTATGTGTTGCATTTGGGACAAAAGATATTCATAGGCATATTATACCCTTTAACTGCAAAAATTTAAGAGTGGTTATACAATTCAAAAAATTCAAATGCATGGTACAGTTTGTGTGGCCACTCAGGCTTGATGTTTTTTTAAGTTCATTAGCACTTCTGTTTTGCAAGAGTTGTCTTCAAAGAATTTGATATGCCTTCAAAGAAATAAGTAATACTCACATGGTTCTTGATAATTCTTTCAGGTACTTGAGTGAGAAACATCTTCAGAACTTCCCTGGGCTATCTATTTTTATCCAGAATTGAAATGCCTAGGAAAGTACAGAAAAATAATAATGTTGCACACAAAAAAGTGCACACAACAATAATTCCTGGATAACATTTGTCATATATTTGTGTTCCATTTTGGACACATTAGTAAAAACTCTGAGTGATTTGCTTGCATTGTGTGTCACATAATCTTTGACTAACTAGAAGAGCTTAGAATTTCTTTGATTTGAAAACAAAAATCAAATCATTTTTCAGGACTATCTTCATAATTAAATCAGAGTTCTAGCTATCCCATAGCTTATAGAGTGTTGTGAAGTTTTTATTTTTAGTCATTTTATAAATCATAATAATAGTACTGTTTTAACAATATTATTAAACCTATTATGACTAGTTAGAGATCTAAACCTCATAATTCGAGTTATGTTCTGAAAGAAAACACAAGCTTTCATGGAGATACATAACACTGGCCGATCCTTTTTGTTTCCTTTAGAGGCATCTGATACAGCTTAAGACCTTTTCCAATGCAGTTCTAGTTAAAAAAGGGTTCGACTATATTCTCCCTGTCCTGCACATACACAAAACTCTGAATTGTTGACAGTGGGTGAATTTGTTGTAAAGTGAGCTTTGTAAGGGTGGTTACAATCTGCTCTCTGCCAGAGGCAGCAGATCATGTCAGGAGCAAAGGCAGTGCAGCTCTGAGTAAAGAAGGGGGAGTTATCCACATCACACCTGCATCTCTCTGTTGTGGAAGGCATCTTATAGCAACTTGTGTTGACTAAATTCAGCTTCACCATTTCTACATCTTTTGTGCCAAGGTCAAATCCTGTATAAATATCCTCCTGCCAGAAAGGCTGGAACATCTTCTGAGATCTTTGACTAAACACTGATATTCCTTATAAATTAGGGTCAAGATAACCAGAAGATTCAGGAGTCCCACCTCACATGTGTTTCTTCAACACAGAACAGAAGAAATCAAAGCAGAGTCCTGGCCCTTACTGTGAATAACCTACTAATTCTGTTTTCTTTTCTTAAAGTTACAGTACTGCTTTTTGAATAATCATTCTACACGGAGCCTGGATTTTTTTTTTTTTCTTAAAAGGGCCTTTTTTCATCACTTCCTGAGCTACCAGTAACATCACTCATCAAATCAACTTTTTTACATACCTTTATCTTTGATCTTTTCCCCAAACAAAGAAGTCTTTCTGTCTTCTCCTGGAAGAACTACACTTGTGAAAACAACTTTTTCTTCCCTACTTCACCAGCCACTCCCTGAATTAGCTGCTCATTCATTTTGTTTTTTTTTCTATTTACTTAAGATGTCCTTTCTTCTGAAGGCAAGATGTTCAGGCTACATCTTGTTGCAAGGGGGCAATGGACAGAAGACATGAAAAGAGACAGCTCCAGTGAGGACTGTGCTCTTGAGTGGAAAGTCTTGTCCTGGTAAAGTGAATTATCCCTGGACGCAGAGGAGATCTGTCTGATGGGTGAGGAGAAAGGGCCTGTGGCCCCTGTGGTTAGATTCCCTTGGGACCTGCTTCCCAGCCTTGTCTGTGAGTCTTTCCTCAACAGGCACTGACTTTTCCTTATGAAGAGATAGGTGTGATTGGTCCTTGAAGCCAGGACTGAGGTACAGCTGCTCAGAGAATGGCGACTAGGATACCACATTAGTAACTATGTTACCACATTTTCATGTCTCTCAATGTATGCAAAATAAATTTATTTTCAGCATACCCATTCAGAGGAACAAAGCTAGAACTTTTCACTTTGTCTTTCTGCTACTAAAGTGGGACTACTGATTGTTTGGGTTTTGCTTTCCGTTTTTTCACAAAGTGAGCATATGTCTATGTGTGTGTTCCACAAGACAGGAAATGTGTTTGAGCCCCATGAATAAATGTAAAAACAAAGTAATACCTGCTCAGGGTGACATAAATAAATATGAGGCAACTGTTGGTGCCAAGTGTGATCATGCCACTTGATTGCTAGTTAAATCAATCCAGATGTAAACATGTAAACTCCTTGATTTGTATGGTACAAGACATCTGTAGGTGGTTTATTAAAACCTGCTGATGTCTCCAGAACTAAATTTGTGCGGATTTAGGCCTCTGGGTAGCTGCACTGAAAAAGCAAAGACTTACTTTTTGTGTGGTTACCTGACTTCCAGCACTGTACAGGTGTGCTTGAATAAATTAACATCAGTTACTTACGATGAACCACTGCATACATTACCAAGGGAGGTGAAGATGTGAGAAAGCTGCTACTTGCCTCCTGTTACCACCTCCTTGACACAACAGCACCCATTTTTTCATCACCCTGCTATGCTTGGAATCTTCTAGAGATAACTTTTTAGATAATTGTTTTCTGTAAATGCACTATAATCTAGGAACAGATAACTCCCAAGAAATTTCACACCAGTCTGTGATAATCATGACTGTATTTCCCTTAATATAATTAGCTGTAATGTACAGCTGGAATTTCCTCCAATAAGAACAAGGAAATCAGGTTTTAAGACATTAGGTGTTTGATGAACCATTTGGAGACAAAGGGATTATTTTATATATTTTTTTTAAATATAAACATATTTACATGTCCTATACTACTGTTTCTGGACATGATGCAGTTCATTAAAAAACTAGCTGTATATCTAATACAATTGTATGAG